GTTTCCATATGCTTCAGCAAAGGGCTTGTTTAGTTCAAAAAGTTTCTCAAAAACTGTTATAGTAGTCATCACATCGAATTTTGTGATACGTGTATGGATCATTAAATATAGACGAAAAAAAAACTAATTACACAGTTTGATTGAAAATTACGAGACGAACGTTTTGAGCCTAATTAGTCTATGATTGAACATTAATTACTAAATAAAAACGAAAGTGCTACAGTAGCCAAATTCCCAAAATTCGCGAATTAAACACGCACTTGGAATCCGAATAGGGGCCAGTTTTGGGTTGACCCTTTCGCGCACTGTAACATGACGTTCTACGTACGTCATATTGCTAGGCTTTAAAGGGCCTGGCACATGTGGGACTAGCGTAGATCTCTAGCTTCAGCATTTGTTGCTATGCACCCAACGAGCATGTACCAAGCAAGCAAAAGAGATAGTGTGAGAGCACTCCACTTCAGACCACAAAATTTTTGCAAAATTTTGAACGAAAGGAGGGAAGATGAAGGTATAATGTTATTTTTGCAAACATTTTTTAATCTATGGAATGGAAGCAAGCAGCTAAGACATCAGTGATGGGTAATCGAAGACCAGCAAGTTTCAACACAAGAACAAGGAAAATAAATGGTACTGGACGGTCCACAGAGACGGAGGGAAGAGCAACGAACACTTTAATTTCGGCAACAAAAGAAAGTATGTATGTAGCTCAAATTTCAGACCACAATACTAAGATGCGCGCGGTGCTACCACTTGAAGAACAAGCTAGCTTCTCAGGACGTTCTTGATGGCAAATCATTGCTTCAACAGTATTCGTTCTTAGACTGCTACAGCTAGTCCCCAACATTGCACAACAAAATAAACAAAAGAACATTGATTACGGAAGCTTGTTTTTTCAGTGTTTGACTCAAGACAGATTTGTATAATTATTAGATTTTTCCAACGGGTTATGAAATCCTTAGAAGTTTTCAGAATCAGAAACGCCCTCTGCGCCACCGCCGCCCGTACCGCCCCCACCCCGCTCTTTGTGCGCCGCCGCCCAGCTCTGCGTTGCCGGTGAGCTCCGCGCCGCCGGCAAGCACACCAGTGACCTGCACGCGCCACCCACCCGTCCTTTGTGCCACCGCCGCCCCACACCCGCCCTCTATGCGCCGCCGCAGCTCCGCGTTGCCGGTGAGCACACCAGTGACCTCCACGCGCTGATGAGCATCCATTCGCCGAAGCAGCAAGAAGATATTTGCGTTGAAAGAGCATTTTGCAAACATATATTTCAAGTGTTTCAGATATTTCAGAGGTATGTTGCAAGTGTTTTTTATCGACATTGTAAAAGTAGATTAGGATGTTACAGAAGTAGATCCGAGTGTTGCACATGTTGCAGTGGCTACACGTATGTTTCAAATGTATGTTCCAAATGTTTCATCTGTATCAGACGTGTGTTGCAAGTGCTTTCATCTAGATGTTGCATATACATGCATGTTGCATGCATATGTTTCAAGTGTTTCAGGTGTTTTCGTACTTCTGTTGCAAGTGTCTCATCTAGTTGTTTCATATGTTTCAGGAGCTAACGCAGGAATGCATGTCACAACAAGGTCTGTATATGATTTTTATCTTTGGCAAAGCAGCCTTGTGTTTAGAAAATCCGAGGTGGAGACGAGAATTTCACTAGTAGTGTCTTTCTTGCTTGTTGGAGACGGAGAAGGTCAGACAACAGCCTGAGTGAGATTCTGAAGTTCACCACCAATTATGTATGGACTAGCACTTGCCAATTAAAAGCAGCACATGGTAGAGGTAGAGGAAGAGGATGCAATGCAACATGGACCATCCCTGTGAGATATTGAGACGAGGGTGAGACCGAGCCAGAGCACTGTGTCTGTGCTAGTGCTAGTGTAGTGTGGATACTGTACTGTGGTGTTCCTTCTCGCAAGGGAAATCAAATGGGGGGCTATCATCATCGCTCCACAAAAATCCCCCATTGGATCACAGTGTGACCATGCTCCCCAAAAATCCCTGTCAGATATTAGGCTTTGCTTGGTTTGGGCCAAACAAACAAAAAAAAAACATTACAGGCTCTAGGCGTGGAACAGGGAACAGAGCATTTTCTAATTGATTGTAATATGGCTCAGTGCGTTGGGAACTTGAGCGAGAAGGCTTGTCGAGCTTATTCATATGCGAGCGAGATGCTGAGAGCTGGTCGGCGGAGATGGACATGATTGGTTGAAGGCTGATGTATCTAGCATTCGAAAAATTAATGGAGTTTATTTATGGATATGTCTTAGGCTGATGTACTTTGTTTGTTCTGATAGCTTGAGAAACTCAGGAACTCCTAGGATACGTTGTGTACAGCAGCCTGCTCTGATTTGTCTCTGCTCTGAATAAATCTAATGCTCTGTGCTGAATCTTGTATAATGTAACACCCCTGGTGTTAGGCTTGCATAATTTCACTTACATTTCATAAACATGAGCATCATTCATCCATTCATTAGCTCATATCACATGAAACATGTTATCGAAACATTGCAACATGCTGTATATGTCATGAGTGTTGTTTTAAATTATGAAATGAATGGAGTGCAGCACCCAAGTACAACATGTGCAACTCACTTTAGTGGAACATAGTTAGTTAGTACGATGCAAAAAGATCATGAAACATGTGAAACATGGCTACGAAACAAAAGTAACAATTCAATTGTTTTTCATTGTTTCAGTGCATTCAGTGCTTGATTCTTGTGTGACCAATATGTGGTATGGCTAAATATATTTTTAAACAACTTACCTATACTTAGAAGGTCATTAGGAACAATGTTCATGTTGGTCATTTTGCCTAATTAAGTTTTCAAGTTTTGGTTTGACTAGTGTTGACCTCTAGAGCTCTTTGGTTTGACTGTTTAAAAAGTGCAACTTAGAGTCTATGCATGCCTAAGCAACCTAAAGCAATGTTGTAGCAAATTTCATAAGGAACAAAAGTTATTTTATGACCAACTCATGAAAATGTGCACAGCATGCTCAAAAAGGTCCCACAAGTCAGTATTGAAAGCTGGTTCAACACTTGTAATTTTTCTAAGTGCTATAACTGGATTTCAGTTCTTGTACCGATGTTTGGAGCTCTGTATCTCCCTAACCAGGCCGAACCAGCTCGAGCTCCAATTGTGAAAATTGTAGCCCGCGTGTAGATCTACAACTTTGTCAACTACACCATTAGCTAGATCGTCACGGTTTAGGAGTTATAGATCGACGAAAATGCGCCGTCAGTCGTCGGTGGGGTGACTGAATAGAAGCTACAGTGGCCGACCGATTTCAGAGCTTCAACGCCGCGTGGCGCCGCGCGTCGCCGCCGGCCTGACTGCGCTGGCCACGTCGGGCTGTCGCACACCAAATGAAGCCCTGAGCGCGCCCGTGAGTCCCAGCGTCGCATTCCATTCCTTGCTTTCGCCCTCACAGTTGCAAAGCCGCCGCTGCTCCGCCATTGCATTGCCGAGCAGCTCCGCCGTCGCCTAGCTCTATCGCCGCCGCAAAAGCACGACCTCCAGCTCGGCTGCAGCTCCGCCGTGTCCTCCTCTACCCCGTCGACTGTCTAGCCGTGCCACCCGTGTCTTAGGTGAGGGCCAGTGGCCGTTTTTCCACTACCGTCTCCATGGCCGCGCCTCACCGGAGCAGAGCTCACCGCGGCCAACCACCACCGAGCCCTTCTTGTCCTACTTTATCTGCTTGGTTAGCTCCGTAGTAGCCTCGTGAAGCTCGTACCGAGCTTGGCCGGGACAATGGGGACTCACCATCGCCGGAGTCCCGCAGCGACCTCGCCGTCATCCGCCATTGCCGACGCCGTCATAGCTAGAGCGTGGTAGCAGTTGGGGAAAAGGTATGGGTAGGTGCGTATCGTCGCTAGGAACGCACCTGTGCCATTGGCCTCGCCGGAGTTGTGGCCGTCGGCGAGTTTCGCCGTTGCCGCGCCGTCGTCGAATGAATCAGCGCATTAGGAAACGAAGAGTCAGGGGCATTCACGTCCAAAACTAGCTTAGCGCAACTAAAGCGACTTCATTTGAGCAAACGACACCGCACCCTTAAACGACTTTATTTACCCATACGGAGGGAGTACTAGATAGGTACTGTACGAGCAAGTAATTAATGAATTCATAGACGCGTGATTGGTGATTTGTCAAGCGGCGGTAGGAGACAGCGCACGTCACAAGGACCGTGTCCACCGCGTCTGGCATGCATTGTGTGCTCCTTTGTCACGCGTCAGTCGTCACATGCAAGGAGTAACGGAGGAGTTGACGTTGACGGGGACTCACCCGGTTTCCATCTGCTTCAGCAAAGTGCTTGTTTAGTCAAAAAAAAAAAAAAAAAAGTTTCTCAAAAAGTGTTACAGTAGTCATTACATCGAATTTTGCGATACGTGCATAGAACATTAAATGTAGACGAAAAAAAAACTAATTACACAGTTTGGTTAGAAATTGCGAGACAAACGTTTTGAACCTAATTAGTCTATGATTGAACACTAATTGCTAAATAAAAACGAAAGTGCTACAGTAGCCAAATTCCCAAAATTCGCGAATTAAACACGCACTTGGAATCCGAATAGGGGCTGGTTTCGGGTTGACCCTTTCGCGCACTGTAACATGACGTTCTTCTTACGTCATATTGCTAGGCTTTAAAGGGCCTGGCGCATGTGGGACTACCGTAGATCTCTAGCTTCAGCATTTGTTGCTATGCACCCAACGAGCATGTACCAAGCAAGCAAAAGAGGCAGTGTGAGAGCACTCCACGAGCGGTCGAAGCTGAGCATGGAGCTCGCCTTGGGGGCCATGGCCGCCTAGCCCCCAAGCTGGTCGAGCTGCTCACGGCGGAGTACGTCGTGCGTAAGGGCCTCAAGCCCGACATCGAGTCCCTCTCCAAGGAGCTTGTGATGATGAAAGCCTCTCTGGAGGACTCGTCTCGGGTACCACCGGACCAGCTCGGTGAGGTGGAAAAGCTCTGGGCACGGCAGGTCCGGGAGCTGTCAGATGACATGGAGGACACCGTCGACGACTTCATCTGCGCTACAGGCTAATGGTGGCAAGTCTGCAATCGCCACCGACGCCAACGTCTTCAAGAAGATCCTTGGCAAGGCCACCGCTGCAATGAAGAAGGTCAAGCATCGCCACCAGATCTCCGACAAGGTCAAAGACATAAAGAAGCTCTCCAACGAGTTGGCTGAGCTCCGTGCCAAGTACACACAGCTAGAGGCGTGGGAGCTGATCTTGCCGCGAGCATCGCATCGACCCCGTGTCCTCAATCTCTACAAGAAAGAGTCGGATCTCGTTGGCATCGAAGAGTCAAGGGACAGAGTCATCAGGATGCTATCTATAGGGACCAAAGATGATGCTCATGCTCATGCTTCTGATCAGGACCTAAAGGTAGTGTCTATAGTCGGGTTTGGAGGATTGGGTAAGACTACGCTAGCCATAACGGTGGTTGATATGCTTAAGAAACAATTCGGTTGTTCTGCTTTTATTTGTGTTGGTAGCACTCCTAATCTGACTAGGACATTTGAGAAGATATTAGTGGAATTCGATAAGAAGTATAAGCAAGTCGACATGGCCAGATGGGATATAGAGCAATTTGGAAACGAACTGCATGAATTCTTAACGGATAAGAGGTATGTCCATGGCATTCTCCGTCCGGTTTTAGTTCAATGTTTTTTATTTACTAGTAGAGTGTGAGCAGTGTATACATTCCTATTTTATACCAAGCCCTAAGCATGGGCATTTTGTGAAATCAGTTAGGAAAAATTTCAATTTTGACGAAATGTTAATCGAATTTCAGTTATGAAAAGTTTCAGTTTTGGCCAAACATCTAGAAAAATCTATGGAATTTCCAAATTTATATAGATTGGATTTTTATGTTGTAGCACAGATTAAATTGGTTAACAAATATTCCTCTCCCATGGAGTGGGTTGCAATGTTTACTTGCTAGAATCATGTAGATGTTATCGTGCGTCTAGGTTTATATGGATAGACTATACAGATTTGCAAAATTATTCATAACTCTACATTCTTGTGTCAATTATAGGTACTTCATTGTTGTTGATGACATATGGGATGTTGAATCGTGGAAAGCGATCAGATATGCCTTGAAGGACAATAATTGTGGAAGTAGAATTATCATGACTACTCGTAATTTTGAGGTTGCCACAAAAGCAGGAGAGGTTTACAGACTGAAACCTCTTTCTCATGGAAACTCTAAGAAATTATTCTACAAAAAGAATACAGAGCCATAAAGGAGAAAGTGTTGATGGTGTATCAGATGAATTGTCTAGTAAAATCATAGATAAGTGTGGCGGCATACCATTGGCTATCATTGCAATGGCTAGTTTATTGGTTGAAAGACCATATGATGACTGGTCAAAGGTTTATGACTCAATTGGTTTTGGGAATGGAGACAATACAACGAAGATACTCTCATATAGCTACTTTGATCTACCTTCTTATTTAAAACCATGTCTACTGCACCTAAGCATATTTCCGGAAGATAATATCCATGGTAAAAAGAGTGTCATTTGGATGTGGATAGGTGAAGGTTTTGTCCATCTTGAGAAAGAGGACGGCAGCCTATTTGAGGCTGGAGAAAGATACTTCAACGAGCTTGTCAATAGAAGCATGATCCAAACGATGGAAGACAGATATGATCGGTTCACACAATGGTTCCTTATTCATGATATTGTGTTTGATCTCATCAGCAAGTTGTCGAGAGATGAAAACTTTGTTACGTTTTTGGGAAGCATGGAGCAACATGCTTCTCCAGACAGTTTAAGGAGAGAGAAGAATACCAGCATGCCTCGTTCGGACAGCAAGGTACGCCGGCTGGCTGTCAAAAATCACCATGTGCAACGCATCCGTGAAGACGCCATGGACATGCCAGAGGTGATGAGGTCACTTAACATTTTTGATAGTAAGATTGAGGTTATGTCCCCACTTCATAGCTTCAGAGTTTGCCGTGTGCTAAACATAGAAAACTGCTACGTCCCGATTAGCCTAAAGCATATAGGGAAGTTGTTGCATCTCAAGTACTTAGAGATATCTGACACACCTGTTGATGAGCTTCCTAAGGAAATTGGGCATCTGAAGTCTCTCCAGACACTGTACTTTGAGAAAACAGGGCTAGACGAGCTGCCACCGGCTGTTTGTTCGCTTACACAGCTGATGTGCCTGGTAGCTGTTGGGTTTAGAAGGTTGCCAGCTGACAGGATGGGGAGCCTAACATCCCTTGAGGACCTACGGCTAGACAGCGTAGTTGGTCGGAATGCCACTGAGGACCTGGTGGTAGCGCTTGGGAAGCTGACGAGGCTGAGGGTGGCCACTATCACCTTTTCCGAGGAACTAGATGAAAACTTGCAAAAAGCATTGGTGCAATCTCTTTGCAATCTGCAGGAACTCCGAGAACTAGTGCTTCCTTCTACAGGATCAGCGCAACAGGGAGCCAATGCGTGGGAAGACTGGGAGACACCTAGGCAGCTCCGTCAACTGCTTATACACTGCATCATTTTGTCACGGCTGCCTCGGTGGATCAATCGCTGCAGCCTGCCCTGCCTCTGCTCCTTATCTGTGATCGTGTATACTGTTGAAAAACAGGACCTAGATAACCTGGCGAGACTGCCAGAGCTGAGCTACCTCCTGCTAGGGGTTTCAACTGGCCTCCAGGGTATACTGTTGGTAAGGACGGCTTCAGGAATTTGAGGTTCTGTGATGTGGGCACAGCGCTCAAGTTTCATGCCAAGGCTCGAAGAGCTGTGGTTTAGCGTTTATGCAGGGTATTGGAGTTGGGTAGTAAATGATGTGCTGTTGGAGCAGTTCCCAACAAAGGATGAAATCGAAGATCTTGACTTGGGCCTGGATAACCTCCTTTCACTTGAGAAAGTCACCGTCACAGTCTTCTGCTCGGGTGCTACTGCCGCAGAAGTGCAGGAGGTGGAGGACATGGTCACGCGTGCGGTGGAAAATCATCCCAACCGCCCAACTATAAAAGTGGATCGAGCAGGTGAAGAAAATATGTTATCTGACGAAAAAAGCGAGGATCTGGTGAGTCCCTATCTATTAAAAAAATACGTTTAATTTGCGTGGGTACTATTTATTGACCTGTTTACTGCATTCGGCTCCTTGCAATTCTCAGCTTCAGCAACACATTCAACCACGTTGCCGTGTGCTCCGGTCGAAGGATGATCCTGATGCTAGGTTCATCGCCCACCTGCAGTCGTACCGACTTCTTCAGAAAGCCGTTATTTCCATCGACTGTGCGGGTGCCAGCCTGTGTGAGGTGGAGAAAATGGAACCAGCTTTTAGGCATGCAGCCGAGGTTCACCGTAATCATCCGACTATCCATCTGATCAGAACAAACACCGACGAAATGGTCTCCTCATCTGACCATCCCGACACAGAGGTAGCAGCCTGGATTGAATTTTTTTTCAGTAGTTATTAATGGAAACATTAGCTTTGACTAAATAACTTACCATCGGCGCTTATTTTTGCTTCCCAAACTCCAGCAGGACGACGATCATTTGCTTTGCAAACTCCAGCTCAGTAATTGATAACTCTTGTTTCTCCAGTCCTTCCAACCCAGCAGGTAAGTGTCGGTATGTGGATGTGTTTTATTGCTCCAAATTTTATTGCTCTATCTAGTTTATCACGATTCACTGTCATGTATACGTGTCAGTATGTGGATGTGTTTTTACATGTGCATTCTCAGTTGGTTGTTTACATGTGCATGCTCACACATGTTTTCTGTGTGTTGGAACTCTGAATGTGCAAATTGAAGGTACTTGGTTCCGAATACTAGATTGAGTGATTACATAATGCTGCATAGACAATCCCAATGCCAAAGAAAAATGGGTATCCAACAATGATCTTATACAGTGAGTGGTCGGTTTGTGTTGGGATAACGGATCCCAACAGAGTGAGTAGAGATAGAGTCTCCGCTTGGGCGAAGGCTCAATGCAAGGATGAGAACTTAGGTGGGCTCAAACACAATTAGGGTTTCATAAATAGCATTTAACAATCTCCCTTTTTACATAGGGTTCACTCCCCCTTTTATAGGCCATTGTGCATGATGAGGTTCATTTACAAACGTGCCCTTAGGCAGTACGAGCATATTCTTGGGATATTCCCGTACATAAGCAAACCTCCGAGGGCATCTCGGGTCTCCTCCTTCACCAACCGCCTTGCTCTATGGGCCTTATCCCGCACCCATTGGAGGCCCATTTGCCATTTAGGATCCATGCGCCATGGGAGATCCCCTTTCAGTCGGCGGAGGCCCTCATTGATTCCTGCCGCCTCCTGGGTCCTCCTGTCCGCCTCTGCCATGATGGCATTTGCCTTTGCCCTGCATCGAGCCTACGCCACTCGGGGCCTTCGCCGTGGTCCTTGAGCCTTCGCCTGTCTAGGGGGCGCCGACGAAGGCTTCCTGCATAATCCCTGTAGATTATTTCTGATATGATTCACAACATTAGTCTTTTCTGGTAGGATGGGTACTCAGCCTCCACGGCTCATATGTTTGTGTCCAAACAGTTTGTATTTTCCTGTCCTAATACGTTTATATTTTGTGAAAGCATGAGTATGTGCATCTCTTAATTATCCCCTTTTTATGCTCTTAGGAAAATTGATTTGTAATTTTAGGCACCGCCATTGTAGATGAGGCAGCCGGTTGCTCTGGCACCAATCATCCTAGATGATGCTATTAGCTCATGGATGATGGCAGGGTACAAGGGCCTCTCGGCGCTTGTTTGCCGTTGATCATCCTTGTGGGTTGGGGGTGGTTCATGTTACTTGTTGTGTTGTTTTTTTTCTGTGTTTATTGTATTCTTGATTCTCCTTAATGAAAAACGTTCTCAGCAAGTTCTCGAAAGAAAATTTTCGGCACCAAAGATTCTAGCTAGAACATAATCACCAACAGTTTTTTAGACATTTTATGAGTTTTCGGTTACTGGATGTACGCTCAGTTTCCTTCTTTTATTAAACAAAGTATCCAATTTTTTCAAGCTAGTTTGGTTGTTCTTGTTTCAGTTAGTAGACATCAAAGTTTGGTACAAATTAAAAGTTGATTCGCAGATAAAAAAAAAAGAATAGCTAATCAACTGAAACGCACCACGTATGCTAATCAAACTGATTTCCTTATGGCAGCCCTGATAAAAAGTGTGCTAATATCTGGAGAATAAATTTTAACAGGTTAATTGGTTTGATATGTCCTAAGATGATTTTAAGTTAAATGAACTAATCAAATCATCGAGGTAAACCAATATATCATGTACCTGGATGGTAGTTCATGTTTTAATCTTGTAATAGTGCTTTTTCTAGATTGAATTGTTTTGGATTAGGTGTATTCCTCGGCAAAACCACCTTATCTCATTATGCTCTGCTTGAAGAAATTCTGCGGTTACATTTTCCTTTACATGGTTGCTCAATCCTTTGCATTTCAACTTATTTACTATATATGCAAATCAATATTTCAGGTATGTGAGTTGTTTAAGCACTGAGGAGTGGTCCCATTCAGCAAGATGATTGCAAGCATTCGCAGAGCTTGTCATATTTGTGCTTCTTACTCTAAAATCACATTGAAGAGGCAGATGAACCACAAGTGTGAACAATATTTGTCTCTATTTTTATAAGAAGGTTTATATATTTCCTTGAAAGTAATCTTGTAGATTTTATGTGAAGTGTATTTTTTATGACATGGGCCATGTATTTCCTTGAAAATGGCCATGAGAGTTTGTATGTGAACTATATTTTTCCAATTTTTTTTTGAGATGAGTTGTGTATTTGCTTGAAAAACAAGGATGATATATTTTCCTTGAAAATAATCATGAGAACGTTTGAACTCTAATTTCTTAAATAAAGTGATCATCATGTATGTGTGATCTGAACCCTGTATTCTCAATGCCAACGTGTGGGTTTTTGGTGCAAGCTGTTGTTATAGCTTGACTTTGTTGTCTCTATATTGTTCATATTGTAGCACAATACTCATCTAGGTATTTTCTTATCAATATCTGGTTGTGATAGATTTTAGTGTGGATACTGTGGTGTTCCTTCTCGCAAGGGAAATCAAATGGGGGACTATCATCATCGCTCCCCAAAAATCCCCCATTGGATCACAGTGTGACATGGCGCGTAACCATGCTGTACGTGCCATGTGTTGCGGGCTTGCAGCAGCGGCGGTGAGAGCAGGATTGATATGGACCTGATAGCCAAACGGGTCTAGTGGCTATTAGGCTTTGCTTGGTTTGGACCAAACAAAAAAAACATTAGAGGCTCTAGGCGTGGAACAGGGAACAGAGCATTTTCTAATTGACTGTAATATGGCTCAGTGCGTTGGGAACTTGAGCGAGAAGGCTTTTCCAAAGAACTCGCTGCAAAGGTAGGAAAATTATTTCAGTAAGCCTGGAACTAGACATTACAAGATGATTAGAAAGCCATAAAGACGTGCGTAGCCAAAAGAAGCCTATAACACCAAGCTGAAGATGTCAACACGGTAACTTGAAGCTGAATTTGGGGTGGCTGAATTTGAGGAAAATGCTGACGCTTTTGTCAGGAACAGCCTCCCTCAGGGCCTCAGGGAATCAAGGTTGGTAGTGAGTGTTTCGTCGCTAGCGGGCAGTTTTTTTACCGACGCTCGTTGGGGACGACGTCTTACAGCTTTCCATTATTTTAGATTCAGAAAATCAAGATGTGCTTTGCAGGTAGGCATGTGCGTGAAGACAGCTGAATTCGTGAACTACAATGTGTGAACAAAGGCTTGGGGCCTGCCGGCAACGCTGAAAGGCCGAAACCAGTGGCGCCCCGTTTGGTCATAGTTGTCTCGGCATCAGTGACGGCGACGGGCGACAGGGCCACATTGGACCCTGTCGTGGCACAATTTTTTTTTAATCCTCCTTTACTTTGAGAAACCGACAGGTCTAATTTTTTTTTCTGGAATATGCAAAAAAGTTTGCGTATCATTATCTTAAGAAGAGGAGTTTAAACATACAGACGACACGTTTCTATCGAGCGCCGAAAGAGGTCGACCTAAAACAGTCGTAGCTGGACCATCCTAGCAAAGGACCTCTAATTTCGATATTACATAAACTGAAAACAACCAAAATCAACGCAGCGTTGTGACCTACGAGGCGGCCTTGTGCCTTTGTGGTTGTCTTGACGAGCCCTCTCCACCATATGGAAAGAGCGCTTCCAACGCCTCGGTGTTGGACATAGTCAGGATGCCGTCGAAGATCCTATGCACGAATCAAAGTTTAATATTAAACCGCCTGCTCTCTTGTCCTACTCAACAGCATCTTCCATTCCGGTCCGCACCAACTCCAATAAACTAGCAGTGAGCATCTTTATCGCTCTCCCACATAGCATCTATTTTCGCCATTTGTTGCCATGCACCCAACGAGCATCTACAAATGCAAGCAAGCAAGAGAAACAGAGAGCGAGTGTGACCGAGAGATCGAGCTTAACCATGGATCTCGCCTTAGGGGCCATGGCCAGCCTGGCCCCCAAGCTGGCGGAGCTGCTCCTGGAGGAGTACGTCATGCAGAAGGGCCTGAAGCCCAACATCGAGTCCCTCTCCAGAGAGCTTGTGATGATGAACGCCGCCCTCGTCAACGCGTCTCGGGTTCCACCGGACCAGCTTACTGAGGTGGAAAAGCTCTGGGCACGGCGGGTCCGGGAGCTGTCGTACGACATGGAGGATGCTGTCGATGACTTCATCCTGCGCGTGGCCGGCTGCGAGTCTGCAGCTGATGCCACTGACGCCAACATCTTCAAGAAGATCCTTGGCAAAGCCACCGCTGCAGTGAAAGAGGGCAAGCATCGCCATCAGTTCTTCAACACGGTCAAACACATAAAGAAGCTCTCCCACGAGCTGGCTGGGCTCCATGCCAAGTACATGGTTAGGGCCGCGGGTGTTGATCTCGCCGCAAGCTGCGGTATCGACCCTCGTGTCATTAATCTGTACAAGAAAGAGTCGGAACTCGTTGGCATCGAGGTGTCAAGGGACAAAGTCCTCAGGATGATGTCTATAGGGACCAAAGATGATACTCATGCTCATGCATATTGGGACCTGAAGATAGTGTCTATAGTTGGGGTTGGAGGATTGGGCAAGACTACTCTAGCCAAAACAGTGCATGATATTCTTAAGAAACAATTCGACTGTTCTGCTTTTATTTCTGTTGGTAGGACTCCTAATCTGACCAGGACATTTGAGAAGATGCTAGTGGAACTCGATCAAAAGTATAAGCAAGTCGACATGGCCAGATGGGATATAGAGCAATTCGAAACGAACTGCACGAATTCTTACAGCACAAGAGGTATGTCTATGTCATTCTCTGTTTAGTTCAGCTCAATGTTTTTATTCACTAGCAGAGCATGAGCGGTTTATACATTCCTATTCTACACCAAGCCGTAGGCCTAGGCATTCAGTGAAAATGATTATGAAGAATTTCAGTTTTGGTGAATGTTAGTCAAATTTGCTGTGAAACATCTAGAAAGATCTATGGAATTTCCAAAATCAATAGATTGGATCTTTAAGTTATAGCACAAATTAAATTAATTAACAAATAGTGGGTTGGAATTTTTCCTTGCTAGAATCGTGTTGATCGATGTTGTCGTGCATGTACTTTATATGGATACTCTATACAGATTTGCCAAATTATTGATAGCTAGCTCTACACTCTTGTGTCAATTATAGGTACTTCATCGTTGTTGATGACATATGGGATGTTGGATCGTGGGAAGCGATTAGATATGCCTTGAGGGACAATAATTGTGGAAGTAGAATCATCATGACTACTCGTAATTTTGAGGTTGTCACGAAAGTAGAAGAGGTTTACAGACTAAAACCACTTTCTGATGGAAACTCTATGAAATTATTCTACAAAAGAATACAGAGTCAGAAAGGAGAAAGTCTTGATGGTGTATCAGGTGAATTGTCTAGTAAAATCATAGATAAATGTGGCGGTATACCATTGGCTATCATTGCAATAGCTAGTTTATTGGTTGAAAGACCATGTGAGCACTGGTCAAAGGTGTATGACTCAATTGGTTTTGGGAATGGAGATAATACAATGAAGATAATGTCGTATAGTTACTATGATCTACCTTCTTATCTAAAGCCATGCATATTGCATCTAAGCAATTTTCAGGAAGATTCTGGCATTGATACAAAGAGTGTGATTTGGATGTGGATAGGTGAAGGTTTTATCCATCTTGACAAAGAGGAGGGTAGCCTATTTGAGGTTGGAGAAAGATACTTCAATGAGCTTGTCAATAGAAGCATGATCCAACCAATGGACGACACATATTATCGGTTCACACAATATTTCCGTATTCATGATGTTGTGTTTGATCTTATCCGTAAGTTGTCGGGCGTTGAAAACTTTATTACTATTTTGGACAGCAAAGATCAACATGCTTCATCGGACAGTTTAAGAAATAAGAAGAAAGCAGGCATGCCTCATTCGGACAGCAAGGTACGCCGGCTGGCTGTCCGAAATCACCATGTGCAGCACTTGCCTGAAGGCACCATGCACATGCCAGAGGTTCTGAGGTCGCTTCACATTGAAGATAGTAAGATTGAGATTATGGCCCCACTTCAAAGGTTTAGAGTTTGCCGTGTGCTAAATTTACAAAACTGCCATGTCCCGATCAGCCTAAAGCATCTAGGGAGGTTGTTGCATCTCAAGTACTTAGATATATCTTACACAGTTGTTGATGAGCTTCCTAAGGAACTCGGGAATCTGAAGTCTCTTTTGACACTGGTACTAATCGATATTGGCCTAGACGAGCTACCAGCGGCCGTGTGTTCACTTACACAGCTGATGTGCCTGGTAGCTGTTGGGTTCAAAAAGTTCCCAACAAAGAGGATGGGGAACCTAACGTCCCTGGAAGAGCTACAGTTAAAGACCGTAGTTGGCGGCCGGAGTGCCACCGAGGGCCTAGTGGCAGAGCTTGGCAAGCTGACGAGGCTGAGGGTCGTCACGATCACCTTCTCCCAGGTACTAGATGACAGTTTGCAAAATGCATTGGTGCAGTCTCTTTGCAATCTACTAGAACTCCAGGAACTAGAGCTTTTTCCTACAGGATCATTCCATCAGGGAGTCACTGTGTGGGAAGACTGGGAGGCACCTAGGCAGCTTCTACGCCTGCTTATACAAGGTATCACCTTCTCACGGCTGCCTCGGTGGATCAATCGCTCCCGCCTGCCACGCCTCTCCTTCTTATCTGTCAGTGTGTATGTTGTTGAAGTACATGACCTAGATAACCTAGTGAGATTGCCAGAGCTGAGCTACCTCGAGCTAGGCAGTTTCAGCTGGCCTCCAGGGTACACTGTTGGTACGGACGGTTTCAGGAATCTGAGGTTCTGCCATGTGGGCACAGCGCTCAAGTTTCATATGGGCGCCATGCCAAGGCTTGAAGAGCTGCGGTTTGGAGTTTTGGCAGGGTATTGGAGTTGGCACGTAGATGGTGTGCCATTGGAGCAGTTCCCAACAAAGTATGTAATTGGAGATCTTGAATTGGGCCTGGATAATCTCCTTTCACTTGAGAAAGTCACGGTCAGAGTCAACTGCACGGGTGCTACTGCCTCAGAAGTGCAGGAGGTGGAGGCCATGGTCACGCGTGCAATGGAAAATCATCCCAACCATCCAACCATGAAAATGGATCGAGTATATGAAGAAAATGTGTTATCTGATGAACACCGGGAGGCTCGGGTGAGGCTGTCTCTTCTAGTCTGATAAAAAAATACGTTCTCTTAATTATATTACATGTTCGTGGGTACTACTTACTGACCTGTATGTTGTATACTGCATTCTGCTCCTTGCAATTCTCAGCTTCAGCACCACATTAAAAAACATCGCGATACGGAGGTAGCTGCCTGGATTAAAAATTTTCAGTAGTTAATGGAAACCTAAGCTTTGATTATAGAACTTACTACCCGCTTATTTTTTTTCCCCAAACTCCAGCTGGACGGCGATCACGATGATTCACTAGATAATTTTCGTTGCAAACTCCAGCGCAGGAATTGATAGCTCTGTTTGTCCAATCCTTCCAACCCAGCAGGTACGTCCATACCAATCTGCATGTATAAACACTCCAAATTTTATTGCTCTATCTAGTTATCACGATTCACTGTCATGTATACGTGTCAGTATGTATAAAGGATGTGTTTTTACATGTGCATGCATAGTTCATACATGCATGTTTTTTCTGTGTTGAAACTCTGAATGTGCAAACTGAAGGTACTGCTGGGTTTCAAATAGACTAGTGGACAGGCACGTGCGTGGAGAGAAAAAAAATACTTGTGTTAGGGAAATAAGAACTTTTACGGTGATAAAAAGTAATTGAGACAATAATTTGATGCAACAGCCATGTCAGTACAAGAGACGTAAGGTCAAGAAATAGATACTTAGGATGTACTCCCTCTGTCCCAACAGAGAAGTTGTTCTCGCTTTCCGAGAAATCAACTTTTTTTAACTTAAGAATATTAATATTTATAACACACTTATTTAAATATATAAATGTTGTACGCATTTTCTACAAACCTAGTCAAAGTTGAGAAAGTTTGACCTGCACGTATCTCATAACGACTTTCTTTCTGGGACGGAGGGAGTATATATGTGAACTACAGCTACTCAACCATGTTAGTACAAGAGACATAAGGTCAAGAAATACATACTCAGAATAAAAATAATAGGTATTCACTCACAATCAATGTGGCATGCCCCTATTAGCTAAACATTTAGCCAAAAAAGTCTGGAAAGATTTCTATGTAGAACACACCCATCAATGCCATCAGTAGTGTATTTAGTCCATCTGAGTTTTCCAAAGGACCTATTAGTTGTCAAATGTGATGATAGAAGGATAACAATTCAGCAGCTAATGTATGGTATAATAAATCACAAAACCCTCAGCAACCTAATGCAATACAAAGACCTGACATCACTATGTCAGTAGTGAATGTTGTGTGCGTTTCTTCTCTATATGCTACACAAAATAATTATTGATGTAATAATGATGTACACTCTGAATCATTCAGTTATCTTGAATTAGGGAGAAAATAACAATTTGATTTGATATTGTTGACCTCTATGTACCTGTAGTATATATCACGCGTCTTTGTCCTTTAGAAATTTGAGCCCCTTATCAAGCTGCCAATTTGGGAACAAATTTCCTGTGTAGCTTCAACTTCAATCCTTCCAGCAGCATTTTTATGAAGAACTCATTATCTATTGGCACATCCTTTTACACAACCTGTGTACGCATAAGGCCATTTGGTCAGTCACATCTTGTAATTCAAGTAAAAGAGAATGGATGGAATGTCAGTGAGTGATATAAATCTCAAACTTCAACTAACTTGCATCATTTGATGGTATGCACATTAAGAGTTTCAGAAAAAAAAAAGCCAGCAGGAATTCAGTTCACACATATCAGTAGACCAATGCAGTAATTTCCTGTGATGATGGACCCATCTATCTCACATGGCAGTAGTAAAATTTTGGACAGGTGAAAATTCTGCATGCAGGCAGAGCCTTGTGTAACTAAAGATTCTGTGCATGGCAAATACACAAAAGATAGTCTCTTGCTTTAACATTTTTTTTAGTAATAACGAAAATAGAAAAACTATTCTATGAATTGCAAATACACTCAGAGGTAGTAGTCAACAGACTGGTTGCAAAGTACTTTTTGATTACATGTCTCTTCGGCTACTTTTACGCTACATAAACAGATACTTCAAAAAAGTCATTACTGGGAATACCTTGTTCAGTCAAAGCGAAGCCAACAATACAAAGCATACTCCAATTCTGGTTACAAAAAGTTAAGAGTAAAACACAATTAATGACTTTCTATTAGCACTCCTAAGGACAAACAGTGTGAAAGATTATACTATATGTAAACCTCAAGAAAAAAAAAACAGAGCACTGGTTTGTCGTGGATAGAAGGGTAGGCCTGGTGCAGTGGTGAGAGCTGTCTCACTGAGTCACCAGGTCGTGGGTTCGAAGCAGTCTCTCCGTAGATTTTTGCGGGGGAAAGGCTTGTCTCGGTTTATCCCTTCCCCAGACCCCACTCATGTGGGAGCCTCCAGCACTGGGTCTGCCCTTTTTTTTTTGGTTTGTCGTGGACATACCCCTATTTCCATTGTACCAAAAAGGAAATGCACAGATTACGTTCATGCACTCTTATTTTTATGTCCAAACAGTTTTAGATTCAAACCATCGAGAATTATACGTTTTGATCTTGAAGGCAATACACGATATTTCATTTGAACACTGGTTCTCCCTATGAGATGAAATATCAGGGAAAGGTAAGTTCATTGAGAACACCTCACCTGTTCTGCGTCTGAGAGTGGTGTGGAGTGAATTTCAGAATTCAGCGGCTGTGTAACAAACTCAATTACAGACAATGGTTCAATGAAAGTTGTCGCTGACATATTTGAAAAGTCACAGAAAGTAAAATCAAATCCTGGAGATATGTGTCTCTGATATGGATAAAAAATCATCAATAGTGTTGAAGACTTCAAGTGTGTTAGCCTCAAATGGGGAAAAACAATGAACAAAACCATGCAGTAGTAAGGAAAGACAGACATAAGTCCTTGCAACTGAGAAATGACAACTCAGTTTCATGCCTTTTACCAAGGTGGTATCATTTTCTATTTTCTCATATTCGAAAATCATTCGTCAACTCAAATCCGATTATGAACCACATGACATATCAGCCTTTTTTTTGGAAGCCCCATTATGCAATTATCTCTTATGTTGTACATGGATTTCTTATTTGGGTATAATTAATGCAGAATCAAATAAATTCAAAGTAGTAATCAGATTAACTGTGTATATATGTGTTCAAATAAAAGGTGATTACACATGCGATTTTACCTGAAGCTAATTGGTCTGCTTTATGTCACTGAAAATACTGTACAACAACATCACTGCAAAAGAAGGGATTGGCACACTAAAGGCAGCAACCAAACAAACATAGGCAGGTATCACCTAAACAGGGAAGTGTCGTCAAAGCGGTTGTTTTTTTGTAAATAATGGTCGGCTTATGTAAAATCAGATTTTGTGGATGTACAAAGGTACCAATACACCATTGAAATAGGAATTGTGGATGCGAACAGGTACTAATTGCAGCATTGAAACACTGAGGATCACTACATTTCTGAATAGTGTACAATTTACTGACTGGGGCAGTCAAAAATTGTGTCATAATATATTTTCGTCGAATAATTCTTGAAATAGTAAATCAGAGTGCAATTCCTCACATCACATGATCATGGCACTTCAATTTAGTAGGCCTACCTTTTGAAGAGCACATCTTATGGTGGTTCAATTCCATTTCCTTCAAATCTGACATAGAAGCCTTCATACCACACATTAAAAGGAGAGGTCCTGATCTGATCAGTTGACAAAAACAATTCAGTTGTAGAATATCAATAATGCTCCATATTTCACATGAAACTATTTCTCTTCCATATCTGCACAACATTCAGTAGGTTTAGATTGGATCTGAAAGAGCTGAACTCATCATTCAGCAGGAATGAACTCTGAACAGTGAACTCATCCGTGAAGAATAAGTTACTTTAGTGAAAGCATCCTTCTCTACCCATCGACACTGAATATAACTTCAATCTGGTACATGCCACTGCATATGAACTTCATTCAAACAATAAGAATGTACCGTAAAGATTTCTGGTTTTTTTTTATTCTGAGGAGCAGGGGAAATTTTGGTACAAAAAATAGAAAATTACAGTAAAATCTAGGAAATATTTTGGCTATATATGAACATGCATAGAGGTCAGGGGAAACTACCAGATTGAGTGAGAAGGAAAGAGCATCCAGGAGTGTTTGTTGGGAAGTGTGAGGAGATTGTTGGCCACGATGGATGCACCGTGAGGATGCTGACCGAATGGAAAAAGGAAATTACGAAGCAGACTCGTCTTGGACATTTCATTGAGCACTTGAAGGGCAGAAAATAGGAGGAGCAGAGGAAACAGCAGCTGGGGGCCTTACCGTGGTCAGGGAAGAATGAGAACGCGGAGACAGCACAGGCACGGGGAAGTTACCGTGCGGCCACTAGTCCAGGCGCCGTGAGCGGCCGGAGGCCCGCCGTCGTTCAAGCGAGTGGATCTCGCCTCGTGCTCCATGGATCCACCACCGAAGGTTGGGGTGGCCGTCACGGTGAGGGAAGGCCACCGCTGCTGTCGTCCGGGTGGGGGAGGGCCACCATGGCCGCGCGTCGGGGTGAGGCAGCAGGAGTCGAAGGTGAAGGGCTCCCAGGCGTTCCCGCTGCGTGCCATACCCGAGCTTCCGCTTCTCCTCGTACGTGAAGAAGGCGACGTCATCGTTCTTCTTCGAATGGCACTGCGTATCATCTCTTTATTGGCCCGCGTCGCCGCGACTCCGCTGCTCGCAGGAAATAATGAGTGGTTGGTTTGTGTTTTGCTATCCTAATAATACGTTAATATAATATTGTGTAAGCATGAGTATGTGCGTCGTCTCTTAATCCCTTCCATTTATGCTCCTAAGAAAATTGATATGTAATTTTAAGCACCACCATCGTAGAAGATTAAGGCAGCCGCGTAGATTTGGCACCAATCATCCTAGATCAAACGATGCACTTACTTGCCAATTGCCATTGATCAAAGCACCGAGGGAAACAAATATATCATCTACCTGGATGGCAGTTCACGTTTTAATCTTGTGATAGTGCTTTTGCTAAATTGAATTGTTTTTGGATT